CCGGATGTTCTTTATACCTCCTGGGAGGGAAGGGAGAGAAGGGGAAAAAAAGCCGGGGAGTGCGCACGTCCCGGTCCCCTGCGCTCGGCCTCGCTCGCCGGCTTCCAGAGCTGGAGCGCAGTGGCATTTCGTGGTAGGTGCTTCCAATGAAGCCGGAATTGAGGCTTCTTCACTAACGAGCGGCTTCGTGTGGCGGAGTCGAGGGCTTTTCTGCTCGTGGGCAGCAAAGTCGTTGTTTGAAAAGGACCTTGCTGGGCGAACAATGAGAGCCTCGACGTCCGCCTATTGACACCTGCGCTCGGAGCACAATGGCCGCGCGCTTGCTTCTGGAGATCCCGTGTATTTATCCGCGTTGGGAACCCATGTAAATGGCTGTATTTTCCATTTTAAAAAAACTGACCAGCTTTTCCAGCTCTACATGTGAATTCCGGGTACAGATAGCTGTAAAGGTATAAACAAATACGCCATCTAACCCTCTACTCTAGTCCCTGTATGCAGGCTTAAAGATTTTACTATAATTTATAGGGTTTTCGTGAGCTCTTTTTTTTTAAAAAAAAAAAAAAACAAACCTTCCCAATTTATCACTCTTTCCACAGAACTTCTCGCACTTAAAACATTACACTATTTCGTTAGGTTTCTTAAGCACATAAAATTAACACAGGTAAAGAAATTTCAAACAAAACAAAAATAGCCAAGGAATCTATTGAAGCAATACTAACTTTTTTAATCCAAATACTTTTTCTAACTTTTGAAGCTACTGTGCGATTCTGTTGGAAGTGTTTTTAATAGCTGTGGAGAAATTCACCAGAAGTTAGCTTTCAAATGATCTCTGATGTTTTAATGGGTATGTCCACAATGCCATTCACATAATTTTTCTCTTACTCAAGGTCGCTTTCCAAGTTTGAAACCGTGATACGCTTTCTCATTTTATCGTTGATTCGTTATTTTATATTATTTTGGAGGTATCGTTATGAATACTTGAGAAATCAGTTATTAATTGATATATAATTAATAGGAAAAGTTTGAGTTCCTCAAAAACTCAATCAAAGCCCATGTTCTCCCGAACTTAATATTAAAGGCTTGTTTCAAAAATCGCAGCTACTCAAATGCTTACAAAATAGCTGTCTTTTTTATTATTATTATCTTTTTTTTTTTTTTTTTGGTCATTAAGCAAAGTTAATTTAATTTGACAAACTATAGATGGCGTGTAGAAATAAAGTGGTCATTATATTACAACACTCTCTGTTTTGGCTTCTGCCTTGTGCCATTTTTTATTGTTTCACCTGAAAGTAATGTATCCCTTCATTTTTTTTTGCGTTCTGTCGGGCTATACTTACATCCCAGAGTGCACTACAGGGATGCTGGGTTTTTGGTTTTTTTTTTTTAAGTTAGATATGTAGCTTCATTAAATAGCGTATGTGGATGTATTGCTTCTTTAATATTTTGTTTGTTTTGCCATTACTGTCTTAATTCATAGTTTTAAATACTATCTCTTATTTTTAAGAACCTCTTCAGTAAGCATATATGTTGTTGTTGTTGTTATGTGCCGTCGAGTCAGACCCAATATATATATATTGCAAACTCAAAAAACAGTTTAAATAAATAAAAATCATTTTAAACAAAATAAAGGCACTGATACATTGCTCTTAAGCTTTTTGCATAGAGCTGAGTTTATGAGAAATGAAAAATGTAACTATGTTCCTCTCACAAGCTTGAAATTTATGAGAAACAATGATTTCCAGATACTCTTACCCTACATCAGAATAGACAGAACAGAAGTCAAGGCATTTGGGATTGTTCCTATCTTATTTAGAAATTAAAATTACTTTCCTCATTGGGTTTTATTTGGGAGGCAGGACTGTGAAATATATAAAAACCAAAGTCATTGCCGTCAAGTCAAATCTGACTCATAGTGACCCCTTGGGTTTCCAAGGCCCTATGTTTACAGAAGTAGATTGCTCAGTCTTCCTTCCGAGGAGTGGCTAGTGGGTTTGAACTGCCAGCCTTCTAGTTAGCAGTCAAATAAATGCCTTAGGCACTATGCCACCAGAGCGCCCCGTGAAATATATATATAAACTTCACTTGCCTTGCTCCCATAATGTGATTGATTCCTCAGTTCCAGAGAGGAAGGTCTTGTATTTCTTAGAACTTTTCTACAACTCTGAAAGCTATTTAATAGCTAAAAGACCTCCTTGCTTCTCAGGAAGTGGACACATGTTTTATCTCTATTTTTTTTAGATAAGAAACTGAGTTACCCATTCAGAAGAAAAATAAAGTGAGAGAAGTATAGTCTGAAATTGTTGTTGTTGATATGTGCCGTTGAGTCAGACCTGACTCATAGTGACCTTGGGTTTCCAAGGTAGTATCACTACAGAAGTAGATTGCCCAACCTTCCTTCCGAGGAGTGGCTGGTGGGTTTGAACCGCCAGCCTTCTAGTTAGCAGTCAAGTGCCTTAGGCACTACCCTACCAGAGCTCCCAGTCTGAAATTAGGTAAACTTAAAAACTGATGTTACCCCCTTATCATTGTAGATCAGCCCAGCCCTAAGCTAAAGCCACCCCCACTTTCCAATGGGCTTCTTGTCTTTTAAGTTTCTTACATTCTGGGAAGATGAAGGAAAATAAAATAAACCAAGAGCTTTTCTTTCTGTTCAAATGAGATAGCAGGCACTGGCAGTGCCCTCTCATTCCTGAAGCTGAGCAGTTATTTTTATCTTTTCCCATCTAACATCAGAAGAAAGGATAGAGTAAACTGTACAGAGGCCTTTACCTCCTCCTCTATTTAGATTCCAATTTGGCCTCATACACCTCCCAAGGATGTAACTAGGAGAGGTGGAGAAGTGGATGAAGATTAGAGTTTTGTGAAGAGTTTAAGTTAAAGCCCTGGGAAATAAATGATTTCTCCCTAGACATCACCCACTAACATCCTAACTATCTGCTTGTCTGTCTAGCGAGGACCCCTGGAGGGCTGCCAAAATGATCAAGGGCTACATGCAGCAACATAACATCCCCCAGAGGGAGGTGGTGGATGTCACAGGCCTGAACCAGTCACACCTCTCCCAGCATCTCAACAAGGGCACCCCTATGAAGACGCAGAAGCGCGCAGCACTGTACACCTGGTATGTCAGAAAGCAGCGGGAGATCCTCCGACGTAAGTGTTTTAATCCTGCCTCTACCTCAACCTGGAGTGACCTTTGTCCTAGTTCTGACCACTGTGGGCTGCCTTGGTTTCCCCTTCATCTAGAAGGCCTACTGCCTGAGTACTTGGTGAATACAAGAAAGCTGGCAGATGGATTTGGCCTTCGTGGTTGCTATACAATGGACTGACCCATGTCATTTCTTTACTCACTGTCCCTTGCTATCCAGCCAGTTGCTTTGACAGGCCCTCAGTGTGTGCCTTGAATGTACTTTGAATTTTGTGGTCCCTGCTTCTCTTACTAAGTAGGTAAGAGAGTGGGATATCTCCCCTAAAGTAGGCTAAGCATAGCTCCTTGACACAAGACTACAGGTCAGAATTTCCAAAGAAGATATTGCATAGCACATCACTGTTGCTGTTCTTTTCTTCTCCTTGAGGAAGTATTAAAATATATAGAGTGTTTGCATAGGTATATTCAGAACTTGACCTTGTGTGTATGTGTGTTTTTGTGGGGAGGGGTGACTGAGTCCTGAAATAATTTAAGGGGCTTATTCACATTTACCAAAATTGCTAGTTTTGAGATCTCAGCTGGTGACCCTATGTCATGAAGAAGCTGCTTCAGGCTAGAGCAGGACACAGAAAAAGTGTTAGCATTTGGAACTCTGGCCATTAGGTCCTGTCATTCTCACTTTTATCCCAAAATTTCCTTTTTGTCCCAAGATTTCTTCTACCCGAGAATACTGAGAGAGTCTTGTTTTAAAGTGTGGGGAAGTTTAAACTGCATTTGAGTGATAAGAACTTGAATGACATATTCTTGCTTTTATTTCAGCAAAGTAGACTTTGACTTTACACTTCAGTTATTTCCATCCAACCCTTTTCCTAGGAAAATTTTAAGTCAGTTTTCACTCTCCCCACACACTATCCTCTGGGCTTGGGTTTCTCTGTCTGTCAAGATGTAACCCACTTTCTGGGTTGAATTTTTTGCCTCTCACTGACTGGTCAGGTGTTTATTTTATTTTATTTTAATCATTCTTGTTCACTTTCACACACTGCTCTGGTGATTGTTTCAGTATTTATTGTCTCGATGTCTGTGGACTAGAAGGGCCTCCCTGGTAGAAGGAAAGGCTTAGGCAGTCATCTCGTATTGTGGTTGTTTGCTGGAAGCATTAAATGGACAGATTAGAAATAAGAAGCAAAGTGAGAGCTGTTTGTTACTTGGGTGGGAAGGCACTTTGTAAAGTATGGGTTGACCCCCACCCCATAGTGACTGGCTCATTAAAACATGTGTTCCTGACATGAAGCAATTCTCTGTAGTTCCTGGAAAGTCCAAGAAAATTCGCTGAAGCCACAGTCCCCAAAGGCCTGAGAACCCTTGGGACGTGCCTTTAACCCAATGCAAATTTTATAAGGCATCTCCAATCTAACCTGCATCTTTATGTTCGGTGAGACTTCCCTCAGGAAGGAGAGGGAAGCAGGAAAGGCCATCTGGAAGCTTCCAAAAAAGATGAAAGTCCCAGAAATTTTCTCAAGATGCTTGAGATATTTCACAAAAATGTATGGCAGTCCCTGTAAAATTGTTTTGTTATTATTGTTTTAAACTCACATAAGACACAAAGTTTAAGTAGCTTCATTCTGTAAATATCAAATGAACATCTATTATGTGCCAAGAATTGTACTAGGGGGAAAAAAAAAAAAAAGAATTGTGCTAGGCCTTGGGATACACAAGCCTAGAGACTTACAACCTTACAACTTAATGAGGGAGATGAGATGCTTAGTAATGACAGCTGCTTGCTAAGAGCTGTTACACAGGCATACACAAGGGGCAGCAGAGGAATTGTCTGTTAAGTTGCCCGGAAGAATGACAGAGGGTTTCCTAGAGAAGATGGCATTTGAACCAAGTCTTGAAGGATGGACACAAGACAAACATGCATGGGATAAAAATTAGGAAGTGAGAGAAATGAAAAAGGAACTCGAGTCAATAAGAAATAAGAAGAGAGGGGAGAGAAGAAAAAAGATGATATAGAATTGCAAATTTTCTTGAAAAGTTAAAAATAAATGGTAATATTCATGGGCTTTTCTACATCCACAGAATATACTTGTCCGTGCTCACTCCCAAGCCTATTAGAAAGCAGCTGAAGCCAACTTCTCCAAGTTAATTTTTATGGGCAATGAATATTTTCTCTTTCCCTGAATACTCTGAAAAGAAGTGGAGGGGAGTTGGTGGTAGTTGGAGGGTATGTAGATATCTTAATTCTTCAAAAATTGAGAGGTTGGTGCCAATCCCCTAGGTGGGCAGAACTTGAAGGCATGTCATCCTGGCTGATCCTGGTATAGGCTGGGTTTCAGGCAGTTGCTTCCTCAAAGGGCAACTGAGAGACAGAGACAGCCCCCACAATGTGGGATGGCTCTGAGTGATCTTAACATCCACTACAAATAAAAGTTTAGGATTTGGTTTTGTTACTTCCATGTAAGTCAGATTTGAGGGTTTTGTGGGTGTATTATTTGGTTGCTGTTTTTAGCGAGAGGTGATACATTGGCTAGTGGCTAGGAGCTTTAGAATCTACAGGCTAGGTTCACATCCTGGCTTCTGCCCCAAGGCCGTGAAACTTGGGGCAAGTCACTTAGCCAGTCTGAACCTCTGTTTCTTCATCTGTATAATGGAGATAACAACACTTCTCACATGGAGAGGTTGTGAGAATTGGAGAAGGGATACATGTCAAGGACTTTGCATAAGAGCTAACCACAGAAATTGTTCAATAAATGTTAACTGTGATCACATCTGTTCCCATCAAATGAAAATCTCAAATTGCTCCCAAGGCCTTGGAATTATTGATACTGGCTATGAATATTACTCATAGTAATTCTATAAGGCCACAAGCTGCCAGAGGGAGGGAAGAAGACACTGAGACAGACCCCCACTGAGCACGGAACTTCTTCTTTCTCCTTATTTGAATGTCCCTAAAGTAACTGCACTTATGGAGCTGAAGAACAATTAACATAAGAGGTGTGAAATCACTTTGAAAAGTATAAGCTCCATAGGAATTTGAGTCATCATCATCATCCTAATTAGGGGCAAATATTCTAAAAGACTATTCTGTACCCCTTAGGTTTTTAGCCAGTACCAGTACATAAGTAGGGAAGTTGAGGGACCCAGGAATTAAGAACTTGGCTGGGGTTCTATATTATCCCATTGAGTTGGTGACTTCCTGTTAGTATATTTGGCAGCAACTCAAGTATCTAAAGGAGCTGTAGGTCACCAATGAAAGTAGAGCCCTAAGGTAGCGTGAGAATCATTCAAAGTGGGTGGGTCCCAAATCAAAGGCCCCAGTGACAAGCTCCATCCATCCACCCGTGAGACTACTCATTAACTTGCCAATCAGCAACTGGTTAAACAAAGCCTAATACCACCTGCAGCTGGTATCCTAAGTCAAGGCTGATTAGAAGCCCACTACTTCCTAGTGATGGACCAAAATGGAAATGGATTCTTGGATAGGTAGTAAGTTCTCATTGCTGGAGGTGTGTAGATTGAAGAACCACTTGATGGGATGTTATGCAGGAGATTCAAACATTAAGTAGTGGCTTGATTTTTGAACCTCAAGGGTTTTGGATTTCTGCTGTCCAAAGAAACAGGAAAGGCAGCATGTAGAAATAATAGCATGTTGACTCATTACCCCAGGGCTCATCATGACTGGAGGTTGTGGCCTTCAAGGCTCTGAGACCTGAAGGAGTGACTCCAGGAACCAAGAAAGAAAACCATCAAGGTCCAGAACATAGGAAATTACTCTACTAGGTATCCTTGCTCAGCAGGTGCTTGGCCTCTATGTTTATTCATCTTTAAAATGGATTAATCTATAAAATGGAATTAATCAGCCCTGATGAAGCTGCTACATGCAGATATGACAGAGAAAACAACAAAGCTCTCTTCTTCAATGAGTAAATACTGAATCTCATCTAAATCATATAGGCTAAAAGTATCACCACTAGCCTGAGCTGCTGTCTTTCTTTTATTCATTCAACCAGAATGTATTGGGGGTCACAATATGCCTGGACCCTGGGAATTAGGTAGACAGGGTGCATCATTTCATCTATATTCATCCTTCTCCGACTCATTAAACATCATTTCTAGAAAGGCCCCATGCTTAGTTTTGTGTACTTGCCATATTTCAGATTTGTGGGCAGATCTGTAAGATCTTGTCCTCTTAAGCTGCTGCCTTCGTAAATTAATTCCTGGACACACACACCCCACCACCACCACCTTTGAAATTATTTTAGATCTGAAAAGCATCTTCTCTTTCTAATACAAAGCTCCAATTATATGTATTTCAAACCAGTATTTTTAAAAAAGTCTTGGGTTTGGGTTTTTCTTAAAGAACCCAATATGATAATGAGGATAAAACAAACCAAACTCACTGCCATCTAGTTGTTCTAACTCATAGCAACCCAAAGGACAGAGTAGAACTGCCCCATGGGTTTTCCAAGGCTGTGATCTCTACAGAAGCAGACTGCCATGTATTTCTCCTGCCAAGTGGCTGGTGGGTTCAAACCACCAACCTTTTGGTTAGAAGCCAAGTGCTTTAACCATTGCATCAAACCAAAAAACAACCAAACCCATTGCCTTGGAGTCAATTGTGACTCGTAGTGACCTTATAAGACAGAGCAGAACTGCCCCACAGGATTTCCAAGGCTGTAATCTTTATGGATGTTATGTGCGTCAAGTCGGACCCGACTCATAGTGACCCCTCCTTGGGTTTCTGAGGCAGTATCACTACGGAGCTCTGGTAGCATAGTGGCTAAGGCACTTGACTGCTAACCAGAAGGCTGGCGGTTCAAACCCACCAGCCACTCCTCGGAAGGAAGATGGGGCAATCTACTTCCGTAGTGATACTGTCTCGGAAACCCAAGGAAGGGTTGCTATGAGTTGGGTCCTACTCAGCGGCCTATAACAACAACAACAACATCACTACGGAAGTAGATTGCCCCATCTTCCTTCCGAGGAGTGGCTGGTGGGTTTGAACCACCAGCCTTCTGGTTACCAGTCCAGTGCCTTAGCCGATGGCACATAACAACAAACAACAACAACAACAATCTTTATGGAACCAGACTACCACATCTTTCTCCCAGAGTGGCTGGTGGGTTCAAACCGCCAACCTTTTGGTTAGCAACCAAGTGCTTTAACCACTATGCAAACAGGGATCCTTTATAATATAAATAAATAGAATATATATGCAGAGAGGTGGGGTAGGGAGAACTTTTTTAAGTCTCTGAATATTTTAATCTAAGTGCAAATAGATCTGAAACTTGATCAAGCTCATCCTCTTGACATCAAAATACAAGAATTCAGGAATCAGAGTGTTGCTTCACGTCTAAGGGCCAGTGAGCCAGCAAAAAAATAAATTGCTCTTAAAACAGTGGTTGTCTGTGTTTGAGCTCTTTAAAGAAAGGACAGGAGTGGCTTTGGTGGAGTAAACTGAGGTGGACAGTGAAGGATCTGTCATGGGAACTCACCTCTGTAGCTCCCATCCAATAATGGCAGATTAAAAAGGTTAGGAGAGAGGAATAAAGATGACTTTATCCATCTGTCTATCTGTCTGTCTATCTGCTGAGTGAAGGCTACACACCCTATCAAATCTACTCCTTTCTCTTTTCAGAATTCAACCAGACAGTCCAGAGTTCTGGAAATATGACAGACAAAAGCAGTCAGGATCAGCTGCTATTTCTCTTTCCAGAGTTCAGTCAACAGAGCCAAGGGCCGGGGCAGTCCGATGATGCCTGCTCTGAGCCTACCAACAAGAAGATGCGCCGCAACCGGTTCAAATGGGGGCCCGCATCCCAGCAAATCTTGTACCAGGCCTACGACCGACAAAAGAACCCCAGCAAGGAAGAGAGGGAGGCCTTAGTGGAGGAGTGCAACAGGTAACACCACCAGAAGCTCACTTGAGCATGCAGGCGAGCACGTGGACCCAAGACCCATCCCTGGTCTTGGCATATGAGATATTGGTTGTCCAAATAACCAGTGAACAGTTGCCATCAAGTAGATTCTGACTCATGATGACCCCATTGGGAACTGTGGTCTGTAAGATTTTCACAAGTAGATTGCCAGGACTTTCTTCTGTGGCACCTCTGAGTGGACACACACTTCCAACTTTTCAGGCAAGCACGTTAACTCTTTACACCACCATATTGCTAAATCAGTGTTTCCCTAAGTGTGTTCCACAGAACCCTAGTATTAATATATTAAATGAGCTTGAGAAATAGCATCTGCATACTGCCTCTTAGGAAGTCATGACAAATTCACATATTAAAGGCTCTGAGAAGTTCTTTAGTAAAGAAACGTACTTAACTTTGTTGACTTGGTTGTTACCCATGGAATCCTTTTTTGATAAAAAAACCAAACCAAACTCACTGCCATCAAGTCGAATCCAACTCATAGCAACCCCTCATTGGGTTTCCAAGGCGGTATCTCTATGGACACAGATTGCCCAGTCTTCCTTCCGAGGAGTGGCTGGTAGGTTTGAACCATCAGCCTTCTGGTTAGCAGTCAAATGCCTTAGGCACTATGCCACCAGAGCTAGAATACTTGTTAATAATTCCCATGGCATATTCTAGAGAGGATGCTCATCTGAAAGTGAGAATAATGCAGGTGAAGTGAGAATTATGTGACCCCATACATGTCAGGGCAGAGCTATCCCTTAGCCACAGACTGGTTCTGCCTCCACTAATTATCTTTCACCCATTAGTCCAAAAGGGAACCTGGCAGGGTAGTAAGAATGGGTGGGATTTATTCAACCCACCCTGCCCACCATGGCTCAACAGAGTAATTTTTATATTTTAATAACTACATGTAATTTTAAAGAAGATGATTGGAAACCCTTGGGATATTGCTTTGTTTCATTTCTGTCTTCTCCTCTCTGACTCTGATATTGGCCAAAACATCTGCTCTTTGCTTTGGCCACAGCTCCTGGCCTCTTTCTCTCCCGCTGGGCTGGGTCGGCTTCAGCAGTGGACAGATGCAGCCAGCCAGTCAGCCAGGAAGCGGAGAGGCAGAAGAATCAGCCTCTGTGGGCCTGGGTCCTTAGTCTGTGTTTCTGCTGATGAGAAGCCCCTCAGTATCCAGTGGTGTCTAGAAACCCTTGCACCAGCCAGCCCTTTAGAGGGTACTCTTAAGGTGTGAATAAGAAATCTGGCTTCCCTGGCGTATCTGTGTCCACGCCTTTCAGGGTGCTTTGAAGGGACTTAGGCAGAGCCGGCGAAGGACTTTGCCTTTGGTGAGGTGGGAAGAATGGCAAAGAGAAGGTGTCAGGAGGCCCAGTCTGGACCCTTCCTCTAATTGCCTGGCCTCAGCTTGTTCTCTTCTCATCAGCTCCAGAGGCCTAGCCCCCTGACCTCCAGAGCAGCTTCACTTACCCTGGACCTGAGCAAATAGATCTCAAGCTATCTTCATCAGACTATTAGATGGATTGGCTTTTCCTCCCCGCCCCCCCCAAAAAAAAAAAAAAAAAAACCTCACTGCCGTGGAGTCAATTTGACTCATAGTGGCCCCTCCTTGGGTTTCTGAGGAGGTATCTCTACCGAAGTAGATTGCCCAGTCTTCCAAAGAGTGGCTGGATTTTTCCTTAGGACAGGTTTTTTCCCAACCTCCCACTCTATCCTCAGTCTCTTCACACTCCTAACCAAGAACACTATGGTTTTGTGTTTGGGGCCAAGCACTGGAAAGCCCCCCAGCCACCCTTACTCATCATCTCGCCTCTGTCCATTCCCAGGGCAGAATGTTTGCAGCGAGGCGTCTCCCCGTCCAAAGCTCATGGTTTGGGCTCCAACCTGGTCACTGAGGTTCGTGTCTACAACTGGTTTGCAAACCGCAGGAAGGAAGAGGCGTTCCGGCAGAAGCTGGCCATGGATGCCTATAGCTCCAACCAGACACACAGCCTGAACCCTCTGCTCTCCCACAGCTCCCCCCACCACCAGTCCAGTGCCTCTCCTCCAAACAAGCTGTCAGGTAAGCAGGGTCTGGGCCTCACTGCCTTGGCAAGTGGACCATCCTGGTTTTTCCTGCAGGTCTCCCCTGGCCCAAAAATTTTCACAGGAGCCAATGCTTTAGGATGGTATTAGAGCTGATCTCCTCCCATTGCTAGATTATTTTCGTGAAAGAAGAGCATGGCTCTCTTCAGGTTTCTCCCAACTCCTGCTCAACATCACGCTTGTAAGAGATAGGTCAGCCTCCAGGGAGCTATTCTTCTCCCTGTGTGGCTGCTGACTCATAGGGTCAGTGTAGTCATCACATTATGTACAGAGAAAGCTGCCTGGGTGGTTTGCCAGGTGTGAACTGCAGTCAGGTGGGTCGTGATGGTGCATCATCAGTCATTGTGATGGAGAACCTCCATCTGTCCTCCTCCATCCCTGTTCATATCTCACTCCTGGTGCTCTGTCCAGCTGCAACAGGAGAAGATTGGTGGCCCTTAGGGAAGGGTCATTCTGTTTGCAGCAGGTTTTGCTTGTTGGCTTCTGTGCTCCATCGGGGTTAGGGTGATGTCAGCCACTTGACATCTTTGTAGTGATGAGTTGGCCAAAACTCATTGAGGACCTATGTGTGCTGCTATGTGCTAAGCCCTGGCCTGGATTAGTAATGCCTCCTCTGTGGGGTTTGGGTTTGTCACAGAAGAATCCTTATTGTGGGAAAGTATCCTTATATGCTGAGTGCTGTGTCAGGCACAGGCTGTGGATGAGCACTTCTATTGGAGTTTAGTTCTCTCAGCAAAGCTGGCTTCCCAGAATTGGTGTGTTTATTGGGGTCTCTTTGGTGCCCATGTGGACAAAGTATGACATAGTCTCCTGCTTGCTCTGGGGAAAGGCTTACAAAATAAAAGCCAAGCACTGTTTTTGACTCTGAGGTGAATCCTGTTCCTTCCTTCACCTGCTGGATGACCTGAGAGGAGAGATCTGAGATCTGAGAGTTAACCCAAATGTTGGGGTAACTACTATCACTAAGACAGGCTTAGAGCCACCAGCTGGCCAGTATTCCACAGCCATGCCCTCCCATAGTACAGAAATCTCCCAAAAGAAACTACCTTGAAGTCTTCCATCTTCAAGGGTCTCTGGAAGCCTTATATTGACCAACATGTAGCCTAGTCAGGGCTGGAAGCTTTTTTGGGAAGAGCTTAGCTATAAGCGAAGAAAAGTCTGAGTTACTCTTAAGAGGCAGAAATGTCCCCAGGCAAATACTGGCCTGATTGCAGAATAACTTAGCTCCTCTACGGAAATTCAAAGCAAGGTTCAGAGGATAGTCGCAAAAGGCATGTGGCTGGCATGGAGCACTTGCCGCCAATGAGCCATAGAACTGAATCTGGGCACTGCAGGGGGCGTGGTTGGGGCAAGGGGCATTATTGCAAAGACAATAGCCATTGTACTGGGACCTGTGATCTCCACACCAAAGTCAGGGAGCCTGCAAGCCAAACAAAGGCCCAGCAGCTTTCTGACAAGCTGGGGTTGTGTGGAGGTCACCACAGGGTTGTTAGCTTAAGCGTTCTGTATTTCTACAGGAGACATAGAGAGCTAGGGCTGGAGGTACGGGAGCAAGTATTGGAAACTGAGTAGGGTGAATGTGAGATGCAGCCTAGATGCCTCTCTGGTGGGACAGGGGCCTGTCCCACTGAAAGATGGATTCTCTGGGGTGCCCCAGAAATCTGGACCTTTAAAAAAAAAATCCTAACACTAGGAGGGACTTTGAAGAAGCAACCTAAGGTCCAGAAAGAGATAGTGATGTGTCACAGTTACAGAGAAGTAGTAACAGAACAAGGACTAGTACTCACTCAATCTGGCCAGTTTCTACTCTATACTTTCTCACAGCACAAGTGTGCATTGAGTGCTTACCAGGTACCAAGGACCATACTAGTGATAAATAAGACACATATCCCTGACTTCTTGGAGCTCACAGTCTAGTAGGGAAGACTTCATGCTGACATGGAGTCCCCAGGACCAGGCGGGGATTAAGGTTACTTTGGGGGCTTCAAAGCTCTTTCTAGGGAAAGGAAAAACAAATATGGGAC